CATTAGCACCTCTAGTAATATATTTACTGAGAAAAATGGTGACGTGTTCAATACTTATTTTACCCACTGTATATCTTTTAGACAGCTCTGGCTCTGGCTTGGGGTCTACTCTCTGTGGGATGTGTGCAGTAAACCTCGAAACGGAGACATACTGAAAAAGATGCTCGAACCACCTCAGCTGACTTCCTTAATACAAAGGAGAAATAGCTCTATTCCAAGCTGCCCCCAGATGATGAAGCTCCAAAACTTTTCTGTTAGGCTGCCCCCTGTAGAGGAAGCTCCTTTTAGCTGATTGGATACAAGAGCTCATTCTTTCTGACTAATGACCACAATTGAGGGATGAAATGAATGGAGCAGTAAATCAAGAGTTCTGCCTTTTGGCTCAACACTTTTTCACCACAACAGCAACACCATCACTCCTGAGGACGAGGCCTCAGCTTGTTGTTCCATGTCCAGCTTTATTCTACCACCACTCATGAACAACATTCCAAGATACTCAAATATCTGACCACATTACCAGCAAAGTACGTGATCCTAAAGCAAAAAAAGCCTTGAACAGAGAACTTTAAATGTTGCTATAACTGATTAGGTTTTTTTTTTTGATTTTAATGAATTGGGACAGAGAGAAAAAGCTGCCAACATAACCCTGTCATAGACTGATTTAAGTTCCCATAGTTTGTCAGAATTTGATTGAAGGCTAATTCAGCGTTTCTGTCTGATTTATGTATTTTGTTCATTTTCATTTGTCATATCCAAACTCTAAAGGAATTTTCTGTCAGTTTGTTAAGTGAGGAAGAGGAATCAAAGTATCAGCTGTTCTCACAACATTGGAATATGTGAGGCCTACCCACAAAGAAGAAAAATAATATTCTGCTGCTCAGTTCTGAGCAGAGAATGAATGCTCAGCTGGGCCTTTATAGGTTTGATCAGATGACTGARTAACACGCACAACATCTAATATTCACCTTAAGTTTTTTTAAATCATAAAACTCTTTATATGACTTCCATCAGCGGACTACACAACTGGTTTATACCTATGAGTTTCCTAAAACCACACAGTATCTTCCTGTTAAAAGAGTGAAGTATCTTTGACTGTTTGCATGACCAGTTCAAGCCTTTAACTTTAAGAGAGATGACACTGAAACTATCTAATTTCCTGCAGACACATGCCTTATACCTTTCTGAGCAACTTTCTGGTGACTGATGGTTACTCCCCCTCCCCCCTCTTCGACACAACTCTATTGCTTTTCTACAATATTTACTGTATTTTCACCTTAGTTATGATAATGATGATGATGATGATGATGATGATGATGATGATGATGATGATGATGATGATGATGATGATAATGATGATGATGATGATGATGATGATGATGATGATGATGATGATGATGATGATGATGATGATAATGGAAGCCTTCATTCTTTTGCCTGGGTCTAAGTGGTGAACTGGTCAGGAAGCTCAGGCTCCGATTTTTATTGGGCCTTCTTCTGCTCAATCCTTTACTTTGTAAYACTTTCACACGTTTTTTCTTCTTCTGGTATTTATTGATGGTTACCAAACAATTATATGGTAAATTATAGCCACCAGCTGCTCCTTGACCTCCTGACTGCTCAACTGAGGGCTGAACGTTACTCTTCAGTAAATAGGTGCTGCAGTATCAAAAGACTTTTATAAGTTCAAGYACAAGTATACAGCACTGAGCTGAAACTGAATACTGGTATCATGTTTGTGCACCTCTAGTGAAAATGCACAAAATGCAGACAGGWTAAATGAACCATAAATAGCAGTCAGCAGGGAGGAGACATGAAAAGTTGAACAAAAGTTTTTCAGTGTGTTTACCTCCACATGGTTGGGCAGCAAGCTGACAAATTTAAATCCTGGAATCCTCTTGTCGCTGCACACGACTCCTACGTCTTCAGTGTGTTTGCAGTCCGAAACACCAATCCCATTGGACTGACACTGAGCCAAAGTTTGTTCTTTTCCCGTACAGAGAAGATTGTCGAACCAGATGGGTCCTAATGGAACAAAACAAAAATCACTCAGTGCTTCTCTACAGAGGAAATGCTTCTTTAGTTTTGGGAATACAATGAAAAGACATTTGATGGTTGTTTTGCAACAAACCCTTAGAGCATTGATTTCACCATTAAAATAAATTTAAATGTTATGAGATGTTACGCCACAACACAAAAGAGGCTGTTTGTCTGTTTCTTAATTATCACATGAACCACTGGACAAATATTAATGAAATCTGTCCATTTAATCGTTGGCTGGATTTACATTGACAACCTTTTAACTTTTAATTCAAAATGACTGCCACAGATTATTATTTTCCAACACAAAAACAGCTATAACTCAGTCAGTAGTAGTAGTAGTAATAATAACAATAATAACAATAATAATAATAATAATAATAATGAGAAGAAGAAGAAGAAGAAGAAGAAGAAGAAGAAGAAGAAGAAGAAGAAGAAGAAGAAGAAGAA